TGAAGAGGGGATTGTTGCCTAGATACGCGGCAGCGTTCGGTGGGTCGTCGACGTAGAAACCGCGCTGGTCGAGTAGAGTACAGAGTAGTACGTCGCCTAGAGATACGATGCGAGAATACGATAAGGACGTTCGATGAGAGAGCTAATTCGCGTGGCTTATCCGAAGACGTAGCGCGTGACCAGCCGAAATACTGATCCGAGTGCGCAAGTCTTGGTTCAAGGGGGATAAACTGCTCCATTCGTGGGCGGGAGGGCGCCCTAATATACATGTACATGACAGCGGATCGCGTAGCAAAGAAGATGTGGGGTTTTCTGGTTATGGGGATGCAATCGCGTGAGACATTACTATCTATGGTAACTGTCCAGACATAAAAGGAAACTTTGAAATACCGAATCATTGGGGCCTTGTCCTCGGCGACAGACTTCGTTCCCGGTACGTCCAGACGGTTGGCACTGGGGAGCGCTGTCTCGGCGAGTTCGGACCCCGCGGGAGATCGAATTTACGAGTCGCAGCCCGCCGCCCTCGGACGTGCGATCGTCACCGCGGGCCTCTCCTCGCCTACGTCTCCCTGACCTCTCGTCCGTTCGCCCGCGTCGGAAGCTGGTAGAGTCGATGGATACACAAATCATATGCATGCACTAGAAGAATCGTCTCAAATGAAAGAAAAGGATGAATTACGGTACCGGCGCCTGTCTCCTCCACACCGGAAGGATGCGAAGCCTCTTTTGGGTGAGCGACTCGCGTCCCAGCTTTTCTACTATGCAGCTACCTGAACTATGTAACGTAGCGGGATTTTATTTTTCGCGAGTGTTCGGTAGCGACGTGTCTAGCCACACCACTCGTCATCCTCCCGCCACTCGATGTACCTCGGAAGCTCATTCTTTCCAACAATACGCTGCTCTGCGAGGTACCAGACAAGTGCTGATGGGCATATCTTTAGGTGCTGATGCCTGTATATGCCCACTTTCTTGGATGTGCCGCAAGATGTGAAGATATTCCTAAGCCGCCTGCTTATCTCAAAGGTAAAGTTATGTCGGAAAACATTGCGCAAGCGGCCTTCAGGAGCAGGCGCGCGAGTCGGTCCACATGTGTGATGAACGTCTGCTCCTTTGCATGGGATCCCGCCGGGAAGTGGTGTGGAGGAGATACGAGACGGTACCGTAATTTTCGCGTTGGTTCTCA